AACCGTTCTGTGATCCTGGGATCTTACCTGACGTGTGGTGCAGTGTGACCCGGTGAACGTTCTGGGGAATGTCACACCTAGCTTTGCTGTGTGTCTGACATCTGAGGATGTCACGCAGCCGTTGGTGCGGAGAAGCAGGCATTCCCAGGCACTGCTGATGACTTCCCACCGCCAAGGGACCCCAGGGACAGGCGTCTCTCTGCTGAGTCCTGTGGCCTGTGTGTTTTGTCCGGTTCATTTTGGCAGTGTTTTTTCACAGCAGGGGAAAGTAATATCGCTTTTTGGCCTTTCTCGAGTCTGTTTTCCCAAAAGGCTTTTGTTCTACTCATGAATCAAAATTCCTTTTGATATTTTCCAAGCTAAAAAACATTGTGGGCTTTTGTGTTGGTTTGTTTCTCTCCCTCCCCCAACTAACTAAGTGTCTGGAAATGGTTTGGGAAGATGAAAGGTCTATGGGTAGAACCCAGTTTGGAAATGACAACAGTTCCCTCTTGTATCCGGGGAACTGCCTGCCAGGGAGCACAGGATGTCCCCGAGGGCAGGGGTTTTCCTTGCCAGCTAACACCCCCTTCCCTCCATCTCCTGCAGGAGACACCATGTCCTGCTCTGCAGGATATTCTTCCCTACTGGCCGCAGTGGATTTTCATTCTGATGTTGGAAGGGATTTGGCTCTGCCTGACCTTTCTGTTGCCGGTGCCAGGTTGTCCCAGGTAAGGCTGCGCACTGAGTACTTTCTAGGGTGAGAGAGATTGTTTTTCTTCTGCTGAGGAGCAACTACATCGCATTAGCCACAGGGAAAAGCGTGAAGAGGAGAGCTTTCAGGCCAGCGGGGTTAAGGGAAGCATTCATCATGAGAAAAAGCTTCCTTTACCTTGGCACTAAAGCTCCAGCAGTTACAAAGGTGACATCCTTGTGCCTCTCTGTCTGAAGAAGAGGATTAAAATGTCATCCCTGCCTTTGCCCCTGTACTGGGTCAGCACCCGCCAAGCAGCTGGGTTACCAGGGCTGAACCGAAGCTTTGCCTGAGGCTCCCGATGCTGCCTGTCCCCTCGTGACCCAGCCCCTCACGGCATCGCGGTGATAAACCAGCTGCCGTGTCGGACCTGTGTTTCCCCGTGTGCCTCTGGCCGGGGAAAACATGGAGCGCTCCGTGTGCTGGGGCAGCCAACCGGCTGCTGTTGGGGTGGCGTGTACCAGCGCTGTGCCGTGACCTGCTGGCTTCTCTCCCAGGGGATACCTTGGTCCCGGGGGCATCGGAGACTTCGGGAACTATCCCAACTGCACCGGAGGAGCGGCTGGCTACATCGATCGCTTGCTCCTTGGAGAAGAGCACATGTATCAGCATCCCTCTTCAAGCGTAAGTAGCTCTGGGTTTGCAGTGCGACGCCGCAGGCGGGCAGGGACGTAGCTGTGAGGAGGGGGTTGGGAATAAACATGCACGGAGCCAGCAGGGAAAGGAGATGGTTGCTCGGGTGCCCTGTAACAACGGTTTTCTCTCTAAGGTGATTTACCAAACAACGATGCCGTATGATCCGGAAGGGATCCTGGGGACCATAAATACAATCGTTACGGCATTTCTGGGACTGCAGGTACCTCTTTTCTTTCTGACTCTGTGCTGTAACTGGAAGATCTGAAGGAATCTTGGAAATGGGGAGGCAACTTGGTTTCTTTATTTAAGGCTGAGGCTGGCTCTAACAAAACATTTTCCAGAGCAGCGCTTTCAGCCTGAGGTGAGTGTCAGGGAGGTGGAATCTAACCTGGCAGCAGCTTGCATTAGATAAACTAAGACTTCTTCCCCGTGTTTGGAAGGGACGGACACAAGAAGTCTGACAGATATCCACCCGGAAACCTCCTTTGCTTGCTTTAAGGTTGGGCTGGGAGTAGGCTGGCTCTGCATGTTGGAGAATCAGGCCAAGAGACGCACAGACTTCACAGCTCCATTGTAAACCCAGTTTTGGAGGGCGCAGCTGCACGTGTTCCCTGGTGCAGTTTCCGCTTGACGTGCAGCCTCAGCCGCCTTGCAGGGGTGCTACGGGTGTGCTCACCCTCCCCGCCACGAGGGAGGGAGGCAGGGGCTCACGTTAGTCCGACCGGCGTCAAAAGCTCGCAGATCGCCGCGTTTAGAACAGGGTATCGTGGCGCTTTTTGATGCCGTTCTGGTTACTCCTTGCTGGCTTTTGTTGGCTGGGGCTGGCTGGGGGTCGGCGTGGCCTTGTTCCTTCGTGCAGTCCTTCCTGAGGGAGACCCAGCTCGAGTTGCATTGTTGCTTGTCCCCTTCCTTGGTGTAACGTAGTAGGAAGAGAGGAAAGTTGCGAGTGGGTTGCATTTACATCCACCCTTTGCGAGGAGTTCCCATCCTGAGCCCTCCAGCCACTTCGCCGATAGAAACATAAAGCCCAGGGCTGGAGCCCCTCTGCTATGGGGACAGGCTGGGGGGGTTGGGGTGTTCAGCCTGGAGAAGAGAAGGCTCCGGGGAGACCTTATTGCAGCCTTCCAGTGCCTGAAGGGGCTACAAGGAAGCTGGGGGGGACTTTTTACAAGGGTCTGTAGTGACAGGACAAGGGGTAACGGGTTTAAATTGAAAGTGGGGAAGTTTAGATTGGGTGTCAGGACAAAATTCTTCCCGCAGAGGGTGGGGAGGCACTGGGACAGGTTGCCCAGAGAAGCTGTGGATGCCCCATCCCTGGAAGTGTCCAAGGCCAGGCTGGATGAGGCTTGGAGCAACCTGGTCTAGTGGAAGGTGTCCCTGCCCATGGCAGGGGGTGGGACTGGGGGGGCTTTAAGGTCCCCTCCAACCCAAACCGCTCTGGGATTCTGTGGTTAAACCCCATTCACGTTCTCTGCCTTCGCACAGCTGACCAAGACATCTGGCTCTTGACATGTAGCTCCATTTAGGGGCATTGATTCATTATCTGTATTCTGTTTGTGTTAGGCAGGGAAAATCCTCTTGTTCTACAGAGACCAGCACAAACAGATTATGGGTCGGTTCGTCACATGGAGCACAGCAATGGTAAGTCGGATACGTTACGTAGCCCGAGTTCCTACACAACACAGTCTTCTCCGAAACGCATCGCAGTGGTTATAAGAACTTCAACTTTCTCTTTCAGGGCATTATTTCTGCTGTCTTGACAAAATGTTCTAAAGAAGACGGGTTTATTCCCATAAACAAGAACTTGTGGTAAGCGAAGAGATACAGCGTGTCGTGTAATTTGGTTAAAGCACTGTTTTACCCGATTTCTTCCCTTCGGATCTGTATCACATCGGTCTCTAAATAATCTTTCCACTGAAAATGTGTGCAGGTCAGTATCCTACGTGACAACCATGAGCTGCTTTGCCTTCCTCCTCTTACTGCTGATATATTACCTTGTGGATGTCAAGAGGCTATGGTCGGGTGCTCCGTTTTTCTACCCAGGTCAGTAAAATCACGGCAGGAAACATTCCTTCCGATTCCTTCTGCACTGATCCTACCCTTTTATGTTTTCTGCGCTTCCCTTGCCTTTCGGAGAGCTGGGATGTAGAGCGAAGGACATCAGAATGATTGAGTGGAACTTGCACACAGAACTGGACACTCGAAACCAGATATTTAGGAGAGCGGGACTGTTCAGGCTTTAAATCATAGAATCATAGAAT